TAATTACCAACAACATGATTGTGTTCTCATTATATCAGCTGCATTGCTGTGCAAGTGTTAGGCCTGAGTTCAGCCACATGGACTCTATTGGACCGTCGGTGCTTTGCGTTAATCTACATGACAATTTACAGCAGTCTTTTGCCAGTTAGAGCTCACACCTGCTCAGGGACTGGAGTGTAGCAATCTATATAACACCAGCTTCCTGCTCAGTGACATTATCATGAGCCGGGACTTACTTGAATATGCCAATTTGTGCTGTTTAAATCTGAGCAATGGCTGTACTCCAAGGCAGTCTTCACAATACATGTATCGTCATCACTAGTGTTCACAACCATGGTGATTGGGCTTCTTTTCACACTTTTCAGAAAGGTATATGTACAATGTTCGTAAGAAAAACATATTGCTGTGGAAACTCATCTTCCATGTAATATTATGAGTACATCCCTCATTATTCAATAATCAAATAGCATATAACACCGCCATCAGTTAGAATAACATCAATTTCAGACTGTCTTGAATTCGTAATTGTTCCCAAGCCTTTTCTCAATAATTTTGACCTTTTTCTAAGCTAACAAGATTAATAACAGTAAATGATCAATAATAACGGTGTTTAGTTCAGTAATCTGTGTAAGTTTGCCTTGGTTATGGACAGTATGATTACCATGTCACTAATGTCACACGCAACGTATCAGATGTTTATCCAATTCTCTGAATCCAACAAATATATTTGTAAGGTTTCAAAAGGCTGTACAGTCAATACAATACTGATTTCTGACAGTTTGATACAAGTCTCTGATGTAGAAGCACAGAAGCGAACAGCCAACTGTCTGGTGGGGTGTTTTCTGTGTTGGCACTACTGCCTGTTGGAGATGATCACTACAGTAGTGGTAAACACAACACACAAGAATACTTCCCTGGCTGACTGTGTTTCCTGTCTCTCAGGCTGCTCTACACATGATGGATTGTGTCATATTCCCTCGTTGTATTGCAGTGAGGATAAAGATTAGTAATACTTCCTTAAGCTATGCAAGATACGACAATTAACAAGGAAAAACTGGAGATATTTCTGGCAGGTTTTCCCAATTATCCAAGGGTTGTTTTAGCACAGTCATTTAACCACTACACTTCCTATACAGAGGTGCATTCCTTAGCCTGGTGGAATCCTATGATAGTGGGTTTGAGTCCAAGATTTACCCTGATTATTATTCTTGATTTCTTTGCACCATACTAGTTTTCTATTTCTTTGTTTGTGTGTTTGTTTGTTTTTAAAATTAAACCAAGTCAACTTTCAAGACTAGAATGGGCTGCCATCTTGTCGGAGTCTGTAGAGTGTTTGTCTGCATCTACTTCAGCCACCCCTTCCCTGGTCTGTAGGCTTGTGTACTCAGTTGGCCATCAGCTGGAGTAGTTATTGATCCTGATTCCCTTCCAGTCCCTGCAGACAAGCAATCTGGTCTTTGCAGACATTCTCATTTACTGACCATACACCAAGGGATGAAAGGGGAGCAACTCTCAGTCCACTGGGACCATTCTGAATATTACAGTGAGTGGGGATTGACACCAGACAAAATCCAGCTGTAACCTGGCACAGAGAGTCCAGGAATAGTCCAGCAATTGTCTAGACTGACCGCCTGTCTTATGCCCTGTTTCCCTGTGGGGATGTCTATATTATGTCACATTTCTTGTAAAAGTGATGTTTGTGGTCAGATGACCATAACAGCTGCAGAGTATGATATGTTTGTGTTTTAATATCTCACTCAGCACATTGCAGCTATGTCATGGTAATCTGTAAATACTGGAGTAAGGAGCAGTCTGGTGACTGACATCATGAGCATCAATTAATTCAAGTTGGGTGTGGTGACTCCCGTCAGTATCCAAAAGCATACAGTCACAATTTGCATGTTTTGTGACTCCTTTAAGGCTTATCTTCTGCTGGTAAAACACAGCATTTACTTAACTCACATTGTTGTAAAGGGATGATTGTCCCAAGTCACGCATTTTGTTTTCAAAGGATGAACATCCGAAAACCGTCTTCAGTTTTATGCATCACCTTACCTTATGTGGTGCATCAATGCTCATACTGTCAACAGCTGGTTTAGTTTGCTGAAGACAAATTGCACTTGACAGTTTGATGTATACATGTCATCTGGGATACTGTTGACTACACTGTAAAATCTAGCCGTCCCATCTGTCAAACACTGTCCTTACGTTTAAATGTTATCCAATGCCTAGCAGGGCAGGAGATCAAATTTAAAGGGTAAATCAATATGTCTTGTAATGTTTCATGTCAAATATGTCATTTTTATTGACTGAGTTGGTTGGCATATCTTCATTTATACCTGCATTCACTGAAGGGGTACGGTGTAGGTTTTGTTTATTCATTATATGCTTTATCTTTTTTCCAAAATACTGAATCTCCAAAGAGGGAGGTGTACACAATACCTTCTGTTTATGGATGGTGTTGTGATAAATGTAAACAATAAATATCACTCTGCAGATACATAGGCTATTGTCACTGAGGTTTAACAGTCCTTATGACCTCCTTACCTGTTGAAGAGGCCATAAAGACTCAGATCTTGTCATAACATGGTCATTGTCAATAGGCTTAATCAGGCAGTGTGTGTTATTAGGATTATATTGCCTTTAGATGTTCTCTAAATATAAATGGTTGTGTCTTTTTTAGTGATTGTTTTGAGGTATTATTAACATTAAAGGATGTGTCAAGCTTGTCAAGTCAGACTAGGCAGGAATGACACCTATTCTCGTGATTATATTGTGGACATGAATAGCTAGCTGTCACTAGCTTCAACAAGCATTGTAGGGCAATATTTAAGGAAACAAACTAAACTTAATGTGTTTAGATATTCCCCTCTACAACCACATGGTTGTGATATTGTTTTGACAGGCTTTCATTCAATTGTCAAATGGTGTTTCTAGCTTTTGGATTACTTAACTAAATGTGTGTTTGACTTGATCTATGTTTATCACTTGGTGTTAAACTGTTGAAGGAAATATTGCTATGTATGTGAAGTCAGTCTGTTTGGAATGATGTGTTGATGTCCTGAGGCAGTGTGGAGTTGGATGATATTACGCCATCCGGTGACACGTTGTTGATCCAATGGTACATACTTTGCTGTACTGCTCCAGGGTTGACAGTTTCTGACATCTTGTATGATTATGCTAAATATTTGTGTTCAACATTTAATCTGGGCCAGGCTCCATGAAACTGTTTTGTCTTAACTTTTGTAACCTTTAATACAATTTCAAGGTCACGATGTTGAATACAATCCTGAATATAGAAGTCAGCATTTCAGTCCTATGCCAGAAGTCTTTCACTGAGTGGTATTTGCTGTAAACATGTTGCGCAGTTGTATACATCTGAGTTTGTGTAGGAATATTATTGCTCGGGTTGCCCTAGCCTTCCAAATGTTTAGGCATCATGACCTCTGGATTCTTCAACAAATGCTCTTAATGAGTGTGTTGTCAGGCCCTATAGATATCATCTTTGTTCAAAGGATATCTTGTCATATGTGTATGCTAAAATGATGTCTGTCTTTAGATATCAGTAATGACTTATTATGGATTTTGTTTTTCCAAATGTAGTATGTTACTTATGCTCACACACTTGACAGTGTTAAATGATGACTAATTAATAAGCATTACGTCTGACACTGAGCTGGATTCTTGTTTGCTGAATGTTTAATTTCCAACACAACCGATGTGTTGTAGCCACATGTGTTTTCTTCAGTAAGTGTTTGAAGTGTTGTAAATGTGTCTGTAACCACCATATTGTATCCTGCATCAAGCAAGGAAAGGTAAATCTGAACTCAGTAGTAAGTTAGGCTGAATGGTTATTGAGTGTTTTTCTGTCATACTTTATCAAGTTACTACCAGTATGACAGGCAGCAGGAAAGTAAGATTTGTAACACCGTCATGCAAGGAAAATTCTTTGCTCAGATTTGGCTTGTGCTGAAAAACATCAGGTAGGGTAGCCTAGTGGTTAAAGCAGTTGATTGTAATGCCCAAGACCCAGGTTCAATTCCCCACATGGTACAATGTGTCAAGCCAATTTCTGGTGTCCCCTCACCTGATGTTGCTGGAATATTGCGAAAAGCAGCATAAAACCATGCTCGCTCAATGATTAGGTGAATGGAATGTAAGAACTAATGCTGGGCCCCGTTCCTCAAAGCGATCGTAGCGCTACGATAGTCGTAAGTCTATGTTAAAGTATGGGAGTTGCGATCATCTTAGCCCTACGATCGCTTTGAGGAACGGGGCCCTGGACACAAAAGTCATTTCAGTCTACCAGCACAAACTTGCCATTCATTATGGTGTTTTCTGTGTTTGACTCTGTACACATGGGCTGTCTTTGATTACAAGGTCAAAAGACTTGTTGTTGGATTTGGCTTTGTACTAAAGCTAAAGCTGGAGACTGGACCACATCCCATCAACATAAGTGATGTTGTAACAGGACAAATATGTCATATATGAGTGTCTAGATGTTATTGACATTACAGTTTCAAGGGCCTACTTCCATCAGTTTCAATATCCCGTTATCCTTGACATGATTCAGATCTGTGGTAATATAGTTGACCATGCTGTCTTAATGTTTATCACAAACCTATTTGAAAAAGGTATTGAATATGTTGAAATCAGTGTAATTTCCTCAGGGAACAGTTTAATTCCCTGAATTCCCTAAAATTTAAAATTTGTACATGATCTGAGTGGAAAGTGAGTGGTGACTGATTATTTGTCTTAAATGTCATATCCATTTCAGGAAACAGAGTATTTTATCCAATTGTTTTGTTTTGTAATAAACAGAATAAACTTGTTTGTAATAAACAGAATAAACTCTAGTTGATTGTTAAGAAGTTATCAAGAACCCAATGTTATTGAACATGAGCACATCTCCTGAATACACTCACTTCATGTACATACCGGGTGCCTAGACTTCACTTTTTGAAATGTGAAAGTGCAGGATGATCTGTTTTGTATTGCAGAAAGAAGATAGAGGAGATCGGCAAGATGACGGCGTTGACCCAGGACGAGATCATCAACAACACCAAAACGGTGATCCAGGGCCTGGACACATTGAAGAATGAGCACCACCAGATCCTCAACTCTCTACTCACTTCCATGAAAACAATCAAGAGGGAGAATGGAGACACAAACCTTGTGGAAGAAAAAGCAAATATTCTCAAGAAGTCCCTGGAGTCCATTGAACTAGGACTAGGAGAGGCTCAGGTACTGCCAAGTAATGTCTGTGTGTAAAGTTGTTCTCTCAGAGGTTGTGGTTGATGAGGAATTGTAATTAGTTGTTGCTAGCAGCAAAAATACCTTGAAACATTATTACTTCCAACCTGACATATGAACTGACATTTACAAGGAAATGAAAGTTAAAACAAAAATGTTGCTACTTCTCCAAACTGTTTTTTTTTCTAGCGACATCATGCTCATTGATGTTTACAATGTCGTTGGCTTTTAATGCAATATGGGCAGTAAACTTTGGGATAAACTGCAATCGCTCCTCATAACATTTCAAATTTTATCATTATCTTTTTGATACTTGATAACTTGACTTTTTAATTATGTTTTCAAATAGAAAGTATTCTACATCACTGTATAATTGTTCATGACAAAAGTTCACAGACAATATCATCACTTGCTCACTTGAGGTGAATCTAATGAGATGTAACAGCATTTGTTTGGTTTTACAGGTAATGATGGCATTAGCGAATCATCTACAACATGTAGAAGCAGAGAAACAGAAGTTACGAGCACAGGTTAGGCGTTTATGTCAGGAGAATGGCTGGCTGCGAGATGAGCTGGCCAACACACAGCAGAAGCTGCAGCTGAGTGAGCAGAAGTCAGCCACACTGGAGGAGGAGAAGAAACACCTGGAGTTCATGAATGAGATGAAGAAATACGATTCTAATGACACATCAGTCAGCATGGTGAGTACACACCTCAAAGTTTCTAATGACAAGCTAGTCATCATTGTCATCATCAACTATCAATCTTTTTACTACCAGTTTTATTAAACATACTTCAAACATGTGACGATCAGTTATGCATAAATCAAGTATAGACCTAAGTGTCAGATTGGCTCTGATTATGATCCTAGGAATATGTTTGCTTGTTGGGTTTCACTAAAATGGTGATCATCTTAGACTGGCATTACTTTTGAAGTTCCAGCAACTGTCTCCCGTGTAGTAGTACAAGTACGCTGAAGTATTAAATGTAATGTCAGTATAATTATGTTGGGGTTTTATATATGTCATATGGTATATTAAGTATATGGTAAGTCTTTAACCTAGTATTTTATTAACTGCAGGCAGAAATGTTTACTGTTTAATAATTCAAAATATTCCAGTGATAAACTCTTGCTATTAATGTTCTGAATCATCTAAGCCTGTCATGTCCACGTCACTGGACTGTCTCAAGGCCTTGGCTAGAGGTTAAATTTTAGGATGCTTTCAACTTAATCCTGTTAGAACAGGGATGTTTGTTCCTATACTTACTGAAAAAACAAGAGAAATAAGAGCCTATTTAACCATGTTATGATGTGATATTTTGTTGTCAACAGACAGAAGAAAAAGAACCTGAACCCACTTCACAGCCTCTAGATCTCGGATTTCCAGATGATGATGATGACGGACCACAACCTGAAGGTAAGGGTGCTTCACAGGTCACACTGGAAATTTGTCTTCTGGGATTTTACTTTATCATATATTAAAAGACATGGCAGGAAGATGTTATTTCACAATTTGTCAGTACAGCTTAGATTTTCACAGAAACTTACTTACATTGACTCTATTAATACAAATATACTACTAAAGGATAGGATACAGAAGATAGGTAATGTGATGAAAACAGATTTATTTATATAACTCTTAACATATGGCATACATTATTCAGACAATTATGAGTGGAAGAAGCCATGAAGTTGAACTGATTAAATGATCTTCTTGTTTCAGTTCTGTCCCCAACACAACCAAGTGCAATGGCCCAGGCGGCAAGTGGTGGCTATGAAATCCCCGCCCGTCTGCGCACTCTCCACAATCTAGTCATTCAATATGCGTCACAGGGTCGATACGAGGTGGCAGTACCACTCTGTAAACAAGCCCTGGAGGATCTGGAGAAGACCAGTGGGCATGATCACCCAGATGTTGCCACTATGCTAAATATACTCGCTCTAGTATACAGGTCAGTCAGCATGCTTTGCTTTGAGAGATACTCAAGGGAGCAATGTTAAAAATTGAACATTTTAGGAAATACAGAACATTACTGTTACCATAATATACAGTACAACCAGAAATTATTGAGAATTTAAAGATTGTAATATTATTATTATTATTTTTCACTCATTACTCACGTATTAGTGTGAATATTAGCAGAACATAACTCCAGATTCAAAGACAGGTGAACAGTTAGTATTTTGTCAAGTCACCATGAGCAGCAATGAAGGCTTCAAAGGGGCAGGGCATACTACTGATCAAAGAAGTTGGAAAGTCGTGGTCCATGCTGTCCCAATATCGGACCACCTCTTCGTTCATTTCAGCAATATTTGTCAGATTGTTCTTATTGACACTTTCCTTCATAAGTCCCCAAACATTTTCTATTGGATTTAGGTCAGGGCTATAGCTTGGCCAATCTAATAATGTGATATTTTGGGTCCGAAACCAGACCTGTGAATGCTTTGAACGATGTTTTGGGTCGTCCTGCTGGAAAATCCAAATATTTCCATAGAACATGTGAGCAGATGGAAGTAAATGTCCCTCGAGAATATCTGTGTACCGGTCACTGTTCATATTCCCTTCAAATACACAGAGGGGCGTTGCCCCTAACACAGATATGCCACCCCACACGTTAAATTTCGGACTGTACTTTGGACGCTGATACAAAAGTTCCCATACATTGTCCCAGTTAAAATTTCTATGCTGTAAGCACCAGTTCAACCTTCGTTCCTTTTGTTCAGGTTTCATGATCGGTGATGGAATTCCGCGACTTTTCTGCCAACGCATTGCATGCAGCTCAGTTCTAATTGTCTCCTTACAGACAGCCACAGTTCCTCTATCAATCATATCCAGCCATAAGTTTTCTAAACTCCTTCGTTTGTTTTTAGAAACAAGAATACCAAACCGCCTCCTGTCACCGACAGTCAATTTTCTGGGGCCTACCTGTGCCTCCCTGATGCTCAATGCCATATAATACTCTAAAATCAACTTCCTCTTCTCTAAATTATCCATACTGAGGATCACTGAAAATGTCGTCTGCTAGCAAGTAAACAAAGGGGGATAACTCTTCACAAACTAATGAAAAAGGATTAACGGAGTTGTCTCTCTTGAATGAAACCAAGCACTTGATAGCTGGTCAAGGTTGTTTATACTAGAAATCCAATTAAACATATTCCTAAAATTCTCAATAATTTCTGGTCATACTATACATTGTAGAAATCACAGGATGTTTTAATAACTGTTTTAATAAATTATGTTTGTATTGCCCACTCAAGAAAATTACCGAGTATCAAGTTTTGATTACTTCTGACAGTAGACTTTTGGGTAACACTGGAAGGAGAAGCATGGAAATTTCCTTGTGCCAAATTTTCATCTTTTGATGAGAATGGAAAAGACATTAATCTTTGCTGATGTTCTCTGTTGAAATGAGAAGCTGCATCCTGGTTTAGCATGCTCCTTGCTGGTGGTACTAAGGTGAAGGGAAGTGATGTATTGTGCCCGGCATGTCGTGTGTATTGGTGTTCCAGGGATCAGGGCAAGTACAAGGAGGCGGGCAACCTGTTGCTGGACGCACTTGTTATCAGGGAGAAAACACTGGGCAAGAGTCACCCTGCAGTGAGTGTCTGCCTCTAACACTAATACATCCCTTCCATTTCAGCTTACACCTGGGGACAGGCAGTCAGTGACATTAAGCTTCTCCTTTGAGCGGTGATGTAATAGGAACAATATGTTTTTGGAGGACAAATTCAGTATTTGTGAACTACAGTGTTCAGTGTTATGTCATATCACTTACCCATTTCCTTCCGGGCTGAATAGGTCCTCATCACAATGTGGTTTTGGTGAGAACTGAGTTAGGAATCTTCAGTGGTTATAGTGTGTGACTTGGCTGATTGTGTGACCACATGCCGATATGGCATGGATTGATAATCATGCGGAGCCTCAATGAAACCTTTCAGTTGATAAATACTGTCGTTGTCATCCATATGTGAATTCACTTTCTCACTCTTTAAGAACCTTGAGAAGGAGCACTGACTGTCATGGCTGCCTGGTCCCAGTAGCAGATGCAGCCACCGGACAAGGACACACAAGGACATGATATTTCGTACAAGACTAGTTGTTTGACTTGTAATGCCTATCACTTCCAGAGACCAGGGCAAGTATAAGGAGGCTGCCAATCTACTAAATGATGCATTAGGCATCCGAGAGAAGACTTTGGGGCCTGACCACCCTGCCGTGAGTTGTTGCTGTTGTCTGCCTGCCAACCTGCCTTGGTTTTTGTTCCACCACCAGGCCACCTGATGCCTGGCTGGTTGGTTGGTGTATCATTGGTTTTGGTGTAGTGCATGTCATCCATTTAGTTGTCCATATGTGCTGCTTGTAGCACTGCACAGTTTCATCCACCCCAGATTTATCTGTTCCTGTAGATAACATCACTGGTGGACACATGGTTTGCAGTGGATCTGGTCTTCTTTATGTTGATGCATTGCTGTGCAAAACACAACTGGCACTTTGGTTTACTGACAGTTTCATCACAACTCTTTTCTTTCATATGCAAATGTACACTTTCTTTTACATCTCAAAGTCGGCTTTACACATTTGGTGCCTGTTTTCACTGGATGTGGGCAGTATTTTAGGTAAACCAGTATTCCACAGTATGAAGTACTAATACATACATGCAATGCAAGGTTTGGAAAATACCAGGTCAGGAGTTTTCAAAATCTTAAATAGTTTGGCTTTTGAGTTTGAATTGGTGATGAGTTAGATTGAAGTCAAGAAAGAAGCAGCTGATTTCAGTATCTGAAAAAGAAAACAATAGCGACCATATATTGTTTACTACTGCACATGCACTGTGACCACATCAACATCCAGCAATCTAGTGGAGGGTACAAGTTGTAAGAAATTGTGCAGGTGAAGTCCAATGAAAGTATGGGTCCATTTTACACTTAAGAAAACATTGCCACAAATTCAAAGATAACATGCAGTGTGCCTTTTGTAACAACAACATTTACTGATCCACAGCCTGAAAATCTTGTGCAAGTTCCACAATGATTACATATAATAGAATGCATGCAATATATTGCATGTATGCAATGCACGAATCATTATGGCAATAAATTGCAATACAAAAGTCTTGCCAAATCTCATCACTAATTGTTACCATTTGATTGTCTTACTTTTTGTAACTGAATTTTGAGTCACACAAGGTGAACCCTCTGTCATTCAGAAATCCTTTTCTTCTCTTTTCAAAATGCCATGGTCAGTTATAATTTGTCTTGGCTTTGAGTTAATTCAAGTGACAGAGTATTCATCTGGTCATCTTGTACATCTGTAGACGGTGTGTCTTTGTAACCTTAACAGTTTATAACAACAATATCTCCCCTCTGTTCCCTATGTTAATGTGATAATTTCCTTCATCATCATGGGGAAACTACTAATGCATTGTGGAAAGGTGATAAGTCATCCAGATTACCTTATGTTGATAATGCATGTTTCAGTGGTGTCCAGTCAGTAAACAGGCAGAGCCAACTGCATGACAGATACATGTATCACATTGATGTGTTTATGTACAGTTGATTAGCCCTGGGTCCCATTCCACATAGTGGTCTCAGCAGTTAGATCTTATCTCCCATACTGCAAGATATGCTTACAACCGTCAGATCGACCCGTGAAGAATTGATCTTCAGTAACCCATGCTTGTCGTAAGAGGCGAATAACGGGATCGGGCTGTCAGGCTTGTTGACTTGGTTGACACACGTCAACGTATCCCAATAGACCGATTTCTATGTTCACTGCTGTTGATCACTGGATTGTCTGGTCCAGACTCGCTTATTTACAGACCACCTCCATATAGCTGGAATATTGGAGTGCGGCGTAAAACTAACACTCACTCACTGTCAGATTGCTTTGTGGAGCAGGGCCCAGTACTGGGTGTTTCAGAATTTTATGGTGTCAGCTGATAGCATGTCTGCATGATAAATGTCACATAGGAAACACTGTCAATTTCTCTTGAACTTTATAAGAAAAAGCTTTCACACATTGCAAGATTTTGAATTTGTTCCTTGCACATTTCTTCATGCAAACATTGCCAACAGGCTGGACATACCACATGCTGCTGGGTATCATGCTTGTTATACAGCCTGCATGTGACATGCTTATGTTGTTGTCATGTAGACTAGAAATGTTTGTTTCACCTCTTTGCTTTGCATCATGACTACTAAAATGAATATGATGCTGATGATAATGAGGTGTATAATACTGAGAGTACCAGTACTTAATATACTGGCATGTACTTCCTTAGTTGTTGGCTTTTGTTTCTTTTGTTATTGCTGTTTTTACATCTTATAAGTTAAATACATGACACCAGAGACCCGTTAGCCTTTATGAATCTCACCTAACATAACATGAAAAAGCAAGCACAAGGTTTGTTTTGCCTACAGTCAGCCAGTCAGCACAGTACATCTACAACAATGTATACACACTAAGGGGTGTTTTCTGATGATCTTTGCTTCAAGTAATGGAAAATATTCTTTTCTCCACCCAACAAGACCCACTGTCGGCACCATCAGACACATTTTTATTGAAATACTCTATGATAGCTCCTTTTGTCATTTTCTATCCCTGTGTACAATCTCTTTATAATGCAAGAAATCAGTGCTTCATTATAAAGAATGTACTACAAATAGCCCAGAGGAGTGTTACAGCTACTGGTGTTGGTGATCGCTGTGTAACAAGTTGCTTCCTCTCTTCAGGTGGCAGCCACCCTCAACAACCTGGCTGTATTGTATGGAAAGCGTGGCAAGTACAAGGAGGCCGAGCCCCTGTGCAAGAGAGCTCTGGAGATCAGGGAAAAGGTGTGATTAGGAGTGTTGTTTCAAATCGCCCCTTTGAGAATATAGGCCAAAATTGGTTGTAAGAATCGACCCAATTTGATCATGAGGCCACAGTGTGTGGTCTGTTAGGGTAGTTTCATAATTCATAGTTTCTACAATTACTGCTCATGTTGCCCTCCACAGATCTCTCTGTCTCCTACTTTATTCGTTACCTTGAATATTTCTGTGTTTGACATGAAACAACACTTTCTCATACATTGCAGTGATTTCCATAAGCTTAGGTTGTATTTGACTGGTTGCAGGTGCTGGGCAAAGATCATCCTGATGTAGCGAAACAACTAAATAATCTGGCTCTTCTGTGTCAAAACCAAGGCAAATATGAAGAGGTAACATGAACGAGACAATTATATCATCCAGTCATAAAGGAATATTGTTTGATGACAAAATATACAAAACAATTTTTGTGGATAGCTTCTTTTTCTCATACTGTAATAGCACAGTTTCTGTACAGATCCAGATACTGTTGTCCTTGCTTGACTTGGGGCAGTGAGGTAGCCTTGTGATTCAAGCATTCGCTCATCACGCCAAAGGCCAGGGTTCGATTCCCAACATGGGTACAATGTGTGAATCCCATTTCTGGTGTCCCCTGCCGTGATATTTCTGGAATATTACTAAAAGTAACGAAAACCATACTCACTCACCATGCTTGACAGGGCTGTAAGGATCTATACCAAAGTATTGCTTTTACAGTATAAAAGAAGTTGTTGTCCATAAAACAAATTCTCCACTTTGTTTCATAGTACAGTCATAATGAATAAATATTAGTATTTTCAATCATTTGTTAATAACTCCTTGGTGAAACAATGTGCTCAAACTACAACAAAATATATTGTGCTTAAATCTAGTCATGTTGTCATTTGTGCACCACATGTACAAACTTCAAAGGACATGAGATCTCAGCGAGAGGGACAACTTCTCTTATTCACTTGTTTTAACTGTGCATGATGTTTTATTAACAGGTAGAGCAGTACTATCAAAGGGCTCTAGAAATCTATGAAAGTAAGCTAGGCCAGGATGACCCCAATGTTGCTAAGACTAAGAATAACCTGGTAAGAGTTGATGTTGTTGAGGAGGAGGGACCAGCAGTCTATACATCCTCATCTCTCACTGACCAGGGATGCTGGCATGATGACTTGACGATACACTTCAGTTTCAGTTTTTATCTACCACTTTATTCTTATCATGCCAGCGTGGTGCAAAATTTCAAAATTCCTGCATTTTTTCTACGATGATTGACCACCTAACTTCTATGTTGAGTGGCAGTTTGTTACGCCAAACACAATGTGAAATTTTCTACTTTTCATACAATGGTATTCCCTGCGAGACAAGTGGTGATCACATCAACTATCTGCATACAAATTTTCCTTTCAAAAGTCTTTCTATATTCTCTTAGTTTTTCTTTACTTTCCTTGTGTGATGAAACACATAATCCTTGTCGTATTTTCCACCACCTTCTCTGTTACTGTCAGTATATGTTTGGTTGATGTGATCACTGACATCCAGGAGATGAATAGACAAGCAATGGTCCCACTCCTTCATGTAGCACTGCATGCAATTGGCATTCTATGGTTATTTATTTCAGGTGGAGAAATATTACATCCGAGCTTTAGAAATATACAAGAAACGCTTGGGAAATGATGATCCCAACGTGATAAAAACACAAAACAACTTGGTAAGGCAGTCACTCATGCAGTAGAGTTGCCTGCTGCCATTGTACCTGCCTGCACTTTAACACGCATGTCTTTGACTGGGAGACAGTGTTATCTGCCTCTTACTGTTGACTGCTTGCATTTGTAACCAGCAAACCAGTAACATACACTTGAATAACATGTTATACAAGATTTGATTCCTTGCATATGTATTAGCATGTCCATAAATCAACAAATACACCAAACTGTTCAACTGAGTAACATGTTACACACGATTTGATTGCTTGCATATATTAATATGTTTCAAATCAGCAACAGTAGATACATTCCTTACCTGTTATTTAATCAATATAGACTTTAATATAATGATTTGCTTGAAGGAAATAACAGAATCATGGTTTCTGTGAATATTATTCTGTTTTGTTTATCTCAGCATATTTTGGCTATTATCCAGGATGTCTAGGCCTAATAGTTATTTTGTGTGGTCACATTCCCTGTAAACAGGGAGGAAGTTCAGTATCTATTGGCTATATAATGACCATGAGTTTTGAAAGGCTTTACGGACCCAATGATGCATTGATTTAAAGGGTTATCTTGGTGACCATCCCTGAAATTTATCATAAATAGTTTAAAAAGGAAAATACAGATCGATATTCAAATGACCACTCTTCTGAGACTACAGAGTTTGCATGTTATTATAGGTTTCAAATGATGTCTTTAGCAACATGACTGATTGAATGCCAACTGCTGTTTGCCGTGCATATTAATTGCCAGACATTGTCTTCCATACATAAAGAATGCAAATTGATTACTAATGAATTGTTCAGTATTGACATTGTTTATCGCATGTAGTTGAAGAGACATCACACTAACAACATGTCTAAGTCTTCAGTTACTATCATGTCAGCTTGTTGCCTTATTTCAGGACAGACATAATAACATCATCTTATACTGGAAACTATGATATTTGTGTTTGAGGTTACATATAATTACTGCACCTAATGTTTGTGACATTATCCTTTATTCCTATAATCTGTTGCTGCTTTGTTCAGCCAGGTGTTGAACATTAACTCCATGCAAATTTCTCACATGCCCTTGTATATCCAGTTAGATTAACTCCAGTTGTAATGATTTTTTATGTTTTAATGGTTTTGTTCACTCATTAACAATTTTGATAAAATGAAAGATTTTCATGATATATTGTGTAACATACTATGTTACACTGAGTATAATATTGTTTTGTCACTTTCTTCAATTGTGTCAGAAGCATTGAATTAGATTTGTAAATGAACCATTATACTTCTACAAAAGTAAAAGAGAGCAAAATTTGTGCCTCGGAAGTACATCCATTTCCACAAGGAAGAAATAAGCCAACCAGAGATGTCATTGTCTAAACACCCAACTGTTTTTAGTTTTTATCAAAGTATGAGTTACATGTATTGCATGTATGTTTTGCTGTGCTGTGAAGTCCCAGAGCCTTTACCCTGCACCCTCTCCTTTTAGGCCTCCGCATACCTGAAGCAGGGCAAGTACAAGCAGGCCGAGGTTCTGTACAAGGAGGTCCTCACCCGTGCACACGAGAAGGAGTTTGGCAAGGTGGAAGGTATGACTGTTGGGCAAGCTGCATGTGTTTCCACTTTAACTTCATCAACAATATAAGGAATGATAATCTATTCGGCCCTGGTCTGCAGAAACCTTACGATACCACCAAGGATCCCATTAATTTTACACAATGGCAACATGACAAGTTTCCCTGTTCAGAGTTGTGTCCCTTGAACATTCCCACAACCAGAAATATGTTTGAATCCTTGGTTGCCCCAGTTGTGTGTTTAGGTTTTGTCATTGGGTAACATCTCAGCTCAGGCTTGCACCACCTTGAGCTTTCCTCACCTTGACGTGACTGTAATCCAAATCCCAGCCAACACAACATAACTATCTCTGTTGAGACAGGAGCATTTGCTTTATATTATTATATATAGCCTGGATTAGGTTGGTAACTTGATGTGCTATGTATAGAAAATGAAGAAGTATGCGAGTGTATTGCAAAGACTGAGTAGTTCATGAATTGTAGGAATTCATCACTTATCAATTTTGCTGCAGGGGAGAACAAGCCTATCTGGATGAGGGCAGAAGAGAGAGAAGAAAACAAAGTGAGTACCCATTGCCTACTGCTTCTTTACTGCATTTTGCCAACATGATTACATGTGACTGTGGCTAAAGGTCTTTTGCTATGTTGTAGTATGCTTTATTAGCTACCTGTTATACTTGACTTTCACTTCCAGAATGCTGAACTTTTGTTTCTGATCTCACAGGGAAAGTACAAGGATGGATCCCCACTTCCAGAGTATGGCAGTTGGCATAAGGCTGCTAAAGTTGACAGGTAATTTTGCTGATATTTGAAACAGTATGTTACACTATCAGGGCGTAATTGTATCATCTAAGCATAGTGTTCATCATACTTGACAAGATACACTTGACTATACATCGAAACATTGCTACAGTTGCAAGAAAGGAACTGATCGTCCATATAATCTTGTTATTTATCACACATCCAACTTCAAAATGTAGTTCAAAGATCGACTTAAAGATAAATAACACATGGCCTTGTTAAGACAAGGAATCTGGAAATCGTGATGCTTTGACGAGTTGCTCATGTCCTCTTGTGCCTTCTTTTCTCCCGCAGCCCGACAGTAACAACAACCCTGAAGAACCTTGGTGCGCTGTACCGGAGACAGGGCAAGTACGAGGCTGCCGAGACTCTGGAGGAGTGTGCCATGAGGTCCAAAAAGAATGTAAGTGTAGGTGTTGTCTTTTTATTGTTGTTATCTGTACATGCGTACAATTATTGTAGGTGTGTACAGGATCCAGTAGAGCATCTCTCTGCTTCCAACCAGGGAGTGCTGCAGATCAGTGCTCTCATCACGGAGTTGACTTCATAACGGAAATGACAACATCTATTCGCTGTTTTGGGGATCAAGTATCGGTTCACAGACAACAGCTGTGAAAGGCCTTTACTGTTTCTTGAAATGTAAAGAAAGCTTGACAAAGCCAGGTATTGGTGGGAAAGATCTGCAGCCCTACCTAGTTGTGGCTGTCAAACAGCAGATGGCAGCATATATATGTCACAGAACCTCAGCAGTGGAGGCGGTTGGTCATCCAATCCGCGGACGCACTGAGAGACATGCACAAGAAACACTGAATCGATATCACATCTCAGCCCACTTCATTGCAGAAGTTCATAACATGTTATATGGTTGATCATCAGTTTCATCAGTACACTTTCATTCATCATTCAATATGTAGTCCCTCCATTCATCACCTTTGTAGTTGAAATACTTGTAGTTAAATGACTGAATATTCCCAGATGTGCTAGTTCCTGTTTCAACCCACAGAAATATCCCAGGATGTGTTCTACAGACCTTTGTGCACATGTCATTCAACTCTGTGTCCTCATTATGTTCTGAGGTTTCTGCACTGATTCTCAACCTTGGCAATATTTAGCAAATATAAAACAAAGCCTCTGTAAGGGTTAACATATTCACCCGGACAACATTTGATGTTGGACTTTACATCAGTGATGACACTTGTACGCACACACGTCCAATATCACTGAACAATGTATCTAGTCCCACAGTGTCACAGCATGTAACCCTTGGTATAGGTTCCAGCTTCCTCTCATATACAGGCTGGGTTCAAACTTCACATTGGTTGATGGTTCCATACTTGTATATTCATACTCTCCAGTAGCCTTGTATCGTCATTCTGTCAACTAATGTTTGTGTCGCAGTGGAGTCTTACAAGTTTTACACCAAATACATGGACACCAATCTTTATCGCTAGATGTATGATCATCAGTTCTGCTTTAAATAAATGCATCAGGCAGGTGTACAGTGTTGTTTATGTGAGTTTGTTGTTTTACTACTTTGGGTATTATATCAGTCACTGTGAATAGCTGAAAAAGTGCTGATGTGCATTTATCAACATTCATTCTTGCTGCAAGCTCCAATTTTTCATCAAGATGATACTTAAGTTTATTGTAAGTTGTGATGATGAATCAGATGTTTGTTTCAGAGAGTTGATAGTATATGCTGTAGAGGCGTATGATACATGGTGTGTCTAAATGGTGTATTGTGAGATGTCAGCTGTTATCTAACTCTGTCTGTCCCTCCTCCTCGCTCACCAGCAAGTGTATAACTCTGTATGTACTCGGGGAAGGTGAGTCCAACACTCCAACAACAAGGCAAGGCTAGATACACACAGATACAACACACACAGAGCTGCTATTTATACACAAATGTATACTGGTGGCGGTGCTAAATGCTTGCTTTGTAGCATTTTGGTTTTCTTTAGTTTTCATTCACTAATTCTGTTTGCCACATGATTATTCCACTTCTTCACCCCATTGTATTATGTTTGGACCCTCACTCCTCCCTTCCCATCATCCTTGGTGTAGGCCTGGCCACCACCCCACTCACATTCTCACTTGGCGGATATGGGGCTATGTTCAACGATTTGTTCCACAGTTTCTAGGTCCTTCAATCAGGACTATTCGCTGGGTTGTATTGGCACCCAGGATCTTTGAAATGGACATTTTATATCTGACGTGACAATACCAGTGTTTGTGTGGCCAGCCCTTCACCACTTTGCCTGGGTCACAGGGACAAACTACCCCCCAACATGTCAACTTTTTGGTTTTCTGCTAGGGTCTGGACGTAGTCAAAACCACGAAAATAGCGGATGTGTTAAGCAGTGAATATCATAAAGAGCAGTCTCCCAAAGAGCGAAAGCGCTCGATGAGCAGAGAGAACCTTCGGCGAGACTCTATGGATAGTGTAGCCTACGAGAAAACTGACATTGGTGACGAAGTGAGTATCAAAATGCAGTGGTCGGGCGACTCTGCGGCCCTCACAGACCAGGGCTGGGTGAGTATGAGTACCTACGCCGCCAGGAAAACTTTCCAACACAACATCAGCCACCAGTATCAGTGAAACGTCCCACGTGGCACTCGGACCAACCCATGACTCAAGCCCAGGCTTCTTTGTGCTACTTGTGCAAGCTTGTTCATGTGTTTTGGACTTAACTATTAGTGAATGAAAGGCTTAAATGACCAGCCAGGCACAAAAATGCTTTATTTTCTCTCTAGACAGACATTATTAAAGCGATGTAAAGTAGAGATTGTGTCCAATGGCTCACTGTTCACAGCATGTACATAGCACACCATCTCCAACTAGTCAGCTCTTGTCAGAAAGACCCTTGAAAAGTTTGCATGGTGAAAGTTTCTATTTAGGCTTCTGCCTTTTATTTTTTTTGTGTTTCCTTGCATGAACATCAGATGGTGTTAGGTTTTGGAATACTTAGAAACTTTTCCTTCCATCTGTGTTTCATTTGTATGATGTAACACTTTTCTATATTCTAATTATATTTGGCAAGATGCTGGAACCACAAAAATGTCCACAAAAATGTCTCTTGACCTGGCCGTTATAGCACACTGAGTTTGTGACGGACTGTTGAGTTGGAAGGTTTTCTGCCGGTGCATGTTTTCTCAGTGGCTGCTAGTTATCAAACAAGATAGGGCCTGTCAAATTTGTGTTTCTGTTTCATTTATCTGTTTTTCCACGCTTTCCCCACATACTTAGGTTGTCTTTAATGCACACCCACGGTGTTTGATTTTACCTAACAATTCAAAATTGTCCTCTGGAATTTGTGTGTCTGCTTTTACTAGCACATAACTGAAAAAAAATTCATCTTCATTGAATCATGCAATTAAGAATGAATACTTTGTGAAACGTGATTAATGATTGTTATCTCATTGATAACTATGCACATTTGGTATCAAAGCAGTCTTCCTGCCTTTGGTATCAGCATGTCTCTGTTACTATCATAGCTTTGATACAGTCACTTGAAATTCTTCTCCTTTCTAAAGAAGCTTGAGCTTGTTTGCCTGTAAGGGTAAAACTGGTTACCACAAACCCCCTGTATATCCTGTTAGCTGGCACACTGAGTCAACAATGGGTACTCATACCACCTTTGTTCTGTGTCCGCAGTGAAAGCTGCAACTGCCGCTGCATGGCACTTGTTGCGTAGTAGACCCGACTTCTCCTCACCATCAGACAGGTGGTAGGCGTAGATTTAACTGTCACTCTCATTAACTTGTAGTAAAATCCCAGTAATTTGGTGATTTACAGATGTAAATTTCATTGTGTAAATTTGAAAATGTTAAAGTCAAATACCTGCTGGCGTATGCCCTGGCATGTATTTCAGTATCACAACATCTTTCTGTTCATTCTGGCTGTCCTACATTTGCATGCCAACACAGTATTCATGTTTTTTGTTTCAAGTATTTCTTTCTTGAGTTCTGTGCCTGCATGTGCCTGAAGGCTCAGTGAAGACATTGCTCTCATCCAAACACTCAGGACATTAATCAAGGAATACAGTTGTAGGTGAACAGGCATACCTGATGATATACAGTAAATATTTCTTTGTCAGTTATCTGAAGGGTCATGAGTATATTTAGTGTCTAATGTGGAGATCTTACAAATATATTGATAAATATTGCTGAGATACTTTTCCTGAAGTGTGAAGAAAAGAATGAACTACATATTGACAAGTGTGAAGCAATATTCTCCATCAAAGCTATCCTGTAAGCAGTTTTATGCTTAACGTGCATGGATTAGATACTAGTTGCCTCTGTGTTGTTATTCAGGACTGTTCTTAGAGCATTGTGTCGTTTCTACTTCCTGTGTCTGAGTGTTTGGAAATGAGCAATGATACATTAGGATTTGTTTTTTATTCCACTCCGACCCATTTGAAAATGTATCAGTTTTGGCAATGCTGTCCTATGATTTTTTAAAGTAAGTTAATACGAAAGATTTTGATGACCACCCCTTGTTTTTGCACATGACTTACTCAAGCCATTCCATGGACTTGATTCCACAAGTGTTCACTAACCCCGTCAGTGCATGCTTCAGGTTAACATTGGCTTAGCATGTTGTCACTGAGTCGTCAGGCACTGTGTGGAGCCTGCTGCCCCAGCCAGCTCCAACATTATACATACATGATCTAACCGACACATTCACCCCCATCTTAATTAACTCCTCCTCCATCAGACTGGAAAGTTAAAGCGCAGTGGATCGTTCTCCAAACTGCGTGCTTCCATTAAACGTAGCAGTGCTAAACTGGTGCAGAAGTTGAAGGGGAAGGCTCCTGGTGACGAAAATTCTGGCAGGTAAGCACCCTGGTACATCCATTTGCCAGTTGTCATGGCAACACAACGTGTCTCTAGCCTTGCCTTACATCTACATGACACATAAACAGATGAGGGTCTCACAAACACATAATCAGTTCTGTGCTCGGTCCATGTTGGTGTTTAATGTCCTACTGTGTACGGATCTGTCGCAATTTGAAGCTAGCTGTACTATGCAACATTAAAGGGTTTCATTCTCTGAACAGTCAATGTTATGATGCTACTACAGATAGGTGTGAGTTAATAGTGTCATGTCTTCTTGTCATATTCAGTATGTTTCTTTGCTGTTTAAACTGGTTCAAGGGATCAGTTCCAAATTGATTTTGAACTGTTCTCTCTCAGCCTCAACTGGTATGTGCGGGGATGGTATGCCAACGAGAGAGTTAACACGTATGATGTTTCTTTAGTACTTTTTGTTTGCCAGTTCATCTCGCCCATCCACAGCACACCCTAGCTTTTTCTTCATCACTGCAACCCCATGTCGTTACATCCATCTAACATTTGCAAGGAACATGTTTCAAGTGACTCAAATCAAGATGATTTGCAAAACACACAAATGCGTATCTCAAAGGAAGTAAAAGAACATACAGTTAAAATTAATTCTTTTACACATTATACAGCTGGAGATGCATTAATTTGAATTTAAATTTAATTTGAAAGCTTATTATGACCACCATGAATTGTTTGTGCGTGTTTGTGTTGTGTGTATTCATCATGTAACATATCCAGTGTGATTCATCTGATGTACAATTCCCTGCTCATTCATCTGCCAGCTTTGCGTGGTTTGCAACATTCATACATTTCTCAAGGGCTTCTCTTTACTAGTTCAGGCTGTCATAATGCTGTTTTACTTTAGTCACAAACTATTGACATTTTGTACAAATATCAACCAAATACAGGTTATGTTGACGTGTACCTTTGGATGCTGAAGGTCTAAGGTAATGGCAGTTATCTTTTTCAGGGTTGATATCAAAAGAGCTTTTTCAAACTGAGGTCATCGCTTTGTTTGTCATCATTATACACACACATGTACGGGGAGGAGGCTTGTACAGTGCACAAGCCTTTATGTCCCCTGAATGCAGACACTGTCCTACCACTCCCACAATTCCACCATTACCATGCCCCATTATGCAAGATTTTAATTCTATACATACATTGTTATTTTTTTGCTTTTAGCTACTCTAACATTACTCTAGGACTCACAATTGCAATTAAGTTTAAGCAAGAATGTGAAAATTGCCTTTTTTCATTAATTCATGTAATCTCTGCTTTTAAGGTATTAATTTTGAATATCCAAATCTTGCTGTGTGATTCACATTTATGTTTCTATTTGCTTTCATGAGAAAGAGTGTAATTCATCCTGTTAAAATGAAAAGTTCTGCTTACTGCCCCATACAGAAGAAGTTAAACATGTTTAATATGTACAATCAGTTTATATATCATGAACCCTGATATAGTAATACTTCCCCCCATGATGGGGACTGTTTCTGTGTTATTGCGATTCAGTTTAACAATGGATTATTCTGTCTTACGCTGAGTCTTGCGTCAGGGAAAACTCAGATAGCCATGTTTGTCAGCCAAGTTTCAAATGTCACCTAAATAAGAGTTGTTGAATCCTGATAAAGTGGATCAGTGTTCACACTGGTGGGCCCAGTCTTGGCCTGCAGTATCGCTTGCTCACAATGGAGTTGATATATTTTGTGAACCCAAATGATTATTCAAAGCACTGTCAGGTTTGTGTGTAAAAGATGGAACTACAGAGAACTGAGAGGAAGAGAATTATAACAAGTTAAGAAAGTGGGCACAAGAAGAAATAGTTCAATGGTAATGTTGGGCATGTAATGTTGACACAAAGACTCCGACATGACCTGGATGCTGTCTGCCAGCAGTGTCGACCCTCTCTCCATTGCATTGTTGAGGGGCCCTCTGATGGAGAGGAAGGTAAGCTTTCAGTCCAGTTGATCAGATATCCCTGTTCATGCAGATTTCTGTCTCTTTGCAGTATGAAAAGAGCAAGCTCCATGTCAGTTCTCAATTTAATCAGCAGTAATGATGACAAGTTACATGTAAGTATTATGTCACTTTTCGAAGATTTTATCAGATTGGTCTCACATTGGAGTTATTATGACTACATTTATTTCAATGTGTGTCCGTTCCTTCAAAGTTTATATCTGCACTTACCTGAAATTGTCAATCTTATCGTGTGCCTACACTGAGAAAGGCAGTGTGAAATGTTAAAGCACATGATTCATCAGAGCTCCAGATAAGATTTAGCTCATGTGGGTACTGTACCCACTGTATTTTTTTTTGGAGTGGGTATTATGAATGTTGAGTGGGTATTTCATTTTCCGTTACCCACTGCTTTCAAATATGTGCGTATTTCAGTCACTTTACTCCCCTAAGTATTACGTCATTGAGTAAGTTTACTAAGCAGGTATGTTCTGCCTTATGTCATACCTAATCAAAACCAACTTAAATATAATGGAAAATATTTCATAAAAAATCACTCATCCTATACTGACAGTACAACACGTGTCCTACACTAACAGTACAACTTGATAGCAATCCATGTCTTTTTCATTACACAAGCGATTTTTATAAATGTATTCCATACGCATTTGTTTTAAACGTTTTGCGTATATAACATTTTAAATGTGTAATTGGTACGCAACAATTATTTTTCAATACGTAATTTTATGCGTATTTTACCTGGATACGCAGCTTATCTGGGCCTCTGATTCATTATTCTGCTGCTCAAGTATGTTGCTATGAGAAGGTTTATAAGGATTTTTTGTACATGTGTCAAGGTTGGAGAATATTGAAGTGTAATATTGGTTCACTTGTACTTCCAGGAAAGTAGGCGGTCTGTGGGTGACTTGAGGATGCGAGGGAGGACAGCTAGTACAGAACATTTACCTGGCCAGCTGTTTTGATGAGCAGCTTGCCTGGTTAGACTTTATCATGTGTTTATATATATTTGTACAGTCCTTCATCCCAACTGTTGATGCAAAGCTGAGGCTGCTGGCTGCAAGAAGACTTGATGTCAGCAGCCCAGGCTGACAAGAAAGACACACACTGATCACGCTGTCTTACTGATGAATATTGCCAGATATGTATATGTGGCTTACAAAACCTTGGGCAGCCGGTGATGTAGTGAGGGCGTAGTGCCAGGAATTGAAGTAATCGGTAGTGTCTACATGCATTATACTACTGTGTATCTTGAAGTTGGGCTGACTATGTTATTTGTGTCTTTCATTGAGGAATCTTCCCGCTCGCGGTACTGTGTGGGTAGTTTGATAACAGCATAATACCCAGACAGACTGACAGACAGACAGATGGACAGCCCTCCAGGTGAAGCCCATCGTCAACAACAAGGATGTTGATCATCACTGGCTGTCACTGCTGCTGTTCCTTTCCCAGAACCACCCAGCTGCCACTCCCTGTGTCGTGGGACTTCACTATCATCAGTGATTTCATTGTGTGCAACAACGTCGTGGTGATTGTCGTAGAGCTTGCTGCTTGTGTACCTTGGTCAGACATCGATATATTCTACATATTTGTCTTATACCCACATCTCAGCTGTGTCAGCTAGGTTGAGAGATCTGCATCTACACATTTAAGTAACATAACTCATTAACCACTAATAATTAGGAAGTTTTTATTTATGGCTGTTGCCCGTTTTTAGAAAGTATGAATCAAGCTTATGTCAGAATCAGTTTATGCAGGACAGGTGTCTGGATCTTGGGTCCCTGGTTAGATGGGTTTTTACATAGCATCTTGATATCTTGCTGTGTTGCTTCTGTTTAACAGTAGATATATTGTCTTGACGCAACAACCAAAGTAAATGTTGACGTAATTAGCTTTGCTTACTTTTCAAACTCACAAAATAAGACTTGCTGCTTGCAAAAGTCATCTTTGCTGTGATTGTTTTGTTAAGGCAACACCAAAAAATAACCATGATACCGCTTTGCTAATCAAATTCATTGCCTCTCTATTTGCATGTTAAGTCATATCTTTAATAATTGTTTTGTTAAAACAGAGTTTCAAGTCCATCCAAAAAAGAATATATGTCTTTCGGTGCATGTAGTAACTCCTGTGTGAAACATGCATAACCTCTTTTTCACTTTTCGACTGAAAAAGAGCCTGACATGGTATATTCTGTCTGGATAGAAACCTTTCACAAATCTTGATCAGCTTTAGTAGTCTCACTGTTTAAGTTGATCTTTATGTTCATCATCGCATTCTCTGGACAAATTCTTAAATAAGAGAAATAATTTCATTTTTCAACATGAGAAGTTTAATAAAGTGCTTTAAGTGTCACTATGTATATCATGCTCTTGGATAACATGCTTTTGTGATTTATTAGGCAAGGTAACAGTTGGTTTGCGATCAGTTGCATCGGTACACCTCAGTTTCCATACAACTAACTTGCAATATTAAACTGTATCAGGTAGGATGATTCAGATATTGGTTGAACGAATGAGAGCAGGTCATATTGACCTGGTAAACTAGGTCACAATGACCTAGCCCTAGCAGCAGGACTGTGATCTAACTTTATATTGTTAAACTTTGTTTTCTGTCAGATGTTTATGTTGATATAATTCAGGAGATACTTGTTGCAGCACTGCTGCCTGGTTACATTTCGTCCTGTGTTAATGATGTGAAGGTGTATGGAGCTTGCACTTAGGGTGAGTGGGCTGATTGGCTGGCGGGATACTAGTAGGACCATGCCCAGTTTCTGTGTCGTAATTTGTTCAGCAGCATTCTCTCATAATCTGATATGTTTAAAGTGGCCCTAGTTGCTTTAAGTATACTGAAGACAGACCTGTTGTACCAGGACATGTAAATAGCAACAGTCTCTGCACTTGGGACATGGACGACAGTGTGTCCAATATAAGTTCAGATTGGAATACGTGCAATTGTCTGATTTTCCTGTAAGCTTTTACTACCACATAAACTACTGTTGTTGTTTTGATCAGCGACGATAGTATGACTTGCACCATGGATCAGTTAGCCTGCTTAGATATTGTACACATACCTGTTTCTGGATATATCATACATGTTTGCCATTACTGGCTGTCAGGCTGCGATACTACAAAGCATTTAATAAATAAATATTCTGTGACCCTCCCTTGCTGTCCTTTGCTGACCCTATGGACAACCCACTGATACTCTCACAGTTGACTGTTTTAACTGTCATGTTATTGGGCATTCTTAATAACAAAACCTGAGAACTTGTATCAAAAGAAAAACACTATTTATTACCACCACATAAGACTTTTCATCTGAACCTAGAGCCCCCCATACTAATCTGAATATTTCAACATTGCTACAAATGTAAGTGAAAAATTGAAGTGCTATGTTGTGTGATAGTGTAAGTTCACTTCTTGAGGATGTTGAATTATAGAGATGCTGCCCAAAAGAATACTATCTTTACACTATGTGTTTGACATAGGTACCTACTGCAACAGATGAACTGGTATACAGGTTTATGTATGTGAGTGATAGGCTGAATGCAGATTGAATCCCCTTCCCTTTGCAGACTCTTCTATTTCCAGTACAATCAAAACATGCAATTTTAATGTAATGGTCATAAGATAAACTCACAAGGAATTGGAATGTGGTTCCTTGGGGTACTTCAATCATTCATTTATTTATGATTTGGTGACATTAGATACATTTTTGTTTGCAAGGTAATGGTGTATTTGGAATCATGTATTAAAGGTTGTCCTGTAGTGAGCACTTGACTGGACATTGACCAAGAATTATTGTGAGTTTCAATATGTCTTTCTAAAGTTTACTCATACAATTCAAACCAACATCCATTCTCCTTACAAATAAATATTTTGATTATTCTATGTAATACGAAGATTTTGTGGAGTAAGTAATTATGAAATCTCTTATATATTCCTGATGCCATTGTACAAGTTGAAAAACGTTATATGAACTCACTTGTCTGCTGTTTGGTTTGGATTCACTATGTGTATGCTGTCTGTCTCTTGCGTGTGAGATCCAGCTTGTATCATTTGAGGCAGTGTTCATGCAGCAAGTGTCAGTTTCTGTACAGTTGCTTGATTTCAATCCTGATAATTTATTAAAGCAAATTATTAAAACATCTCTCTCAGTGTTGTATTTTCAAAGGTAGGACAATTTTCAGACTTATGTACGTACTACTGAAGTTTAAGAACCATTCAATTCTTTCATATTGCTACAGTTAGTTTGCCACAAATATGGTATGGTAAAATGAAAGAATTGGAGGGTCCTTCGCCTATTTTGAGTAGAATATTTTCAGCAAAATACTGTTTGTTTTTAGAGGTGCACAAGACATGCAATTAAGCCTTCTGTTGTAAGCTGCATGAAAAACCTGCCACGTCTTACATAATATTTCTCTAAGGATGCATCAGAAGAAACAGATCCACCACAAGAACTTATTAGGCTTCACATCGGGAGGAATGGAAACACCATAGAGGAAATCAGCTGCAGTTAGACAAACTGGAAGAAAGGTTGCTGAATGACACTAACATGCATTCCACATGACTTGTGCAAAGAAGTATCTGGCAACATTTTACAGACTTGAAAACATTGACTGCCTCTGAAAAAATAAAGAGATCTAGTAAACTTTGTAAATGGTTTAGCCATGAATGCCTTATATCGTAAAACTATACACTGCCAATAGAAATTCTTGCACTGAAAAGGTAATGAGCCAAACACTGAAGTCTCAATGGACATAGTTATGAGTTTCCCATAACAAATATCAAGAAACAAACATCAATGACTTGGTCAGAAGAAAGATATCTACTTTATTCTTTAATCACGTGCAACAACGTTTTTATAATATCTTTAAATACTAGTAGGATACCATTAATCCAGTGTAAGATATCGGCAATTCTTCACAAGGTGTACGTATTGTGTGTCATGGTACCTATGGCATCGTGAACAGACTGTCGAGATTCGTATTGGAGAGTCGCACCGAATGATCTTGACACGTGATAGACGTATTGGGCTGAGAAACAGATAAGATGAATATTCATAATTGAGTTATTACCAAAACAGGCTTCACACTGTATTATATAGTCTTAAAACGCAACGCCAGATAAAGCTGCAACGCCAGATCAGTACAACTCCAGATTAACGAAAACACCGTACTTCAGGCGAATGATAGGCAGACATGTACTCCACGAATACCATCCATTGTTAACCATCATGCAGATCATTGCTTCACACTATATCTTCATCAATGTCTGTAGGTTAAGGATTGCCACAACCCACATACTACTGTATGGGTACCAAGCAGCTGATGCTTGTGATTAGAGGAAACTTCATGGACCAGGGCCCTGTTCCTCAAAGCGATCGTAGCGCTACGACTGTCGTAACTCCCATACTTTAACATAGACTTACGACAGTCGTAGCGCTACGACTGCTTTGTGGAACGGGCCCCAGGAGGTCAGAATCTTCACAGGGATGTGGGTCATACCCGACAGACTGTGGATGTGGTTGAGGCACGGTTTCTTTTCTAGACATTTTTCTTTTCTTTTCTTTACTTGAATATTTACAGGCCGGCGTATATTTGGCTTGCATATGACACCTGTGGTGTGAACAATAAACAAAATGTTGTTTAACGCCGCACTCAGCAATATTCGAGTTATATGACGGCGGTATGTAAATAATCGATCCAGCCATTGACGTCATGAGCATCGATCTACGCAATTGGGATACAATAACATGTCAACAGAGTCAGAAGCATGGCCACCCGATCCCGTTAGTCGCCTCTTAATGGGTTGCTGGAGATCAATTCTAAACCCAATCTTCACGGGTAAAACAAAACGCATGGACTTGGTTCTCTCCTCCAACCAATGACAATGGCTAGGCGTGTTTAGCTACCTCCCTTTATTTGTTATGCTATAAAGGTGTTTCAAATCCACTGAAATAAACTTGAGCGTTCCACTACTCTTGGGCAATTATCTCTCCTTTCCGCCCCAAATGCTTATCAAATTATCCAATTGGCCTGTACACCATTAATAACACTGGTTATCGAAAACGTGTCGTTCTTATGTGCTAATCAGAGCCATGATCTGATGACGTCGACCGTAATGCGTCACTCAAAACACAGTGACCATGCAGAGTTCTGTAATGTCGATGTAATTATAACCAATATCGCCAGTTTCTGCATGATGGTGGTTAACACACGTACAGAACATGAAGCGATTGTATGTAGGTTGTATTTACACGGCCACCATTAAACAGCATAGGGTGGGGGCTAAAATAACTCTGAGATGAGTGTACAGCGTAAATCCCCCAATGACCGTCTCACTCTCCCTTCATGCTCAGTAACATCTTGCTGTAAAAAAAAGTCCGTACGCGAGCAGACAATTTACGCCTGTCAGGGGTGAACTGGTCACAGACAAAGGTGAAACCTTATCTGACACGTTCATACCTGCATCCATAGCAATCGATGTGATTTCATCGCGCTGTTGATGCGAGTTTACCTGTAATCGATGGGACGCCGATCACCACGGCACGAGCGTGATCGGAGTGTTAATTACATCGCAACACTGACGTCAGGCGTCACACAGGCGTGCTGCGCTGCACGGAGCTGATGATGAGCGGTTACCTGTCTCTATTTGGCAGACAGCCATACCAGTTATTAAACCCTCGCCTCATATACCTGTATAACACGATATATCAATAATATGACGAATTTGAACAGTGTGCTGAGTTATGAGAGAAAAGTAACAATCAAATCAATATTTATGTACAGAAAAATGACTGCTTCATATATATAGTGGTGAAAATGTTATGCTGTTGAAAACAACACAATTCGTCTGATAAATGATCATGAATTCATTGACAAAAGTCAGATCTCATAACGAGACAGGGAGTCCTAAAGGATGAGTGGTGTAACAACTTAATTAACAGTGTCAATATCGGATGGGACCGCATGACATAGGCAAGGCGGCGGGAGATGATTTAAATGTTAATCGGAATGCGAATTGAAGTTTGACCCAGCTCAGATTGCTGGTTGGCTGCAGTAGGCGTCGTTCTATCTCATCCCAGTACAACAATGTTATGCTGCCTTGAACAGTCAGTTCCTACCCTTCCCCCACGTGGGCGGGCAGTATCTTGTTGAAAAGTGACGTATCGTTCCTGTATTGCACAGTCGGTAGAACATGCTCCCCAAGGATGTTGTTCCAGGGACCTTTTTACCATCTAATTTGCCATTATAAATGATGAGTTGGGATGTGCGTGCGTGCGTGCGAGCGTGTGCGTTGGTGATAAGCGTCAGACTTGCATTAACAAACATCAACAGGTACTACATAACAGGTAGCACACAAACAACTGGATGCAGCCAGATGTACAGTAATATAAACCGATCACATTCGTAATGAGTCCAGACGCACAGTAAGGATTAAAATGTTGAATAAGCTGACTGATTACTAATTAGAGAAGAGACTATACCTCGGTTAGACCTTCATATCAGACGGGGTATAATGCTCTTGATCTCTGCTGATTAAAGGTCTCGTCGAGGCGGATTTCTATGACTTCTGAGAGTTTTCTTTGTGTTTGTGTTTTGTGTTGATTGAAGTCCACCAATGTATAGGAGTTATTGTTATAGCTCGCTGCTGTGAGGGTTCATGTTGGAGGGAGGGTTTCGATCACTGGACTGGAGGATGGTGCTGACAGATCGGACGCCAGTGATGATGGTATCGATGTTTACTTTGTGCTTTTGTAATCTACTGATCTGATGTGTTTGTGCTTATGTAAGGTAGGGTGATGGTCATGTGTGTGTGTGTTGTTTGGGAGCGGATTCTGGTCTGATCGATGTAGTGTAGAAGTCACGCTTCACTGGAGTGTGGGGTAGATGTTCACTAGCTTCTGCAGATGATGGGTGACGGTCAAAGCTGCCTTTCAGTGCAGATGCTCTTGGTTCGGTTGGTCATTGTGGACATGATGACAGACTAAGTTTTGAGTGGATTGGTAAAGTGAATGTACTGGTCAGAATTAGTAGGCTTCCTGTAGACGGCGCTTGGGATCTTGCAGCTGAGGTTGCTGGAGTTGTTCTCTCTGTCTCCAAGGTTATCTTAACTCAGTAACTCAGGGTGTTCGTGTTGAGGTGCTGGAATTGTTCGTTGTCCTCTGTCTCCATGGTGACCTTAACTCAGTAACTCAGGGTGTTCGTGTTGAGGTGCTGGAGTTGTTCGTTGTCCTCTGTCTCCATGGTGATCTTAACTCAGTAACTCAGGGGTGTTGGTGTTGAGGTGCTGGAGTTGTTCGTTGTCCTCTGTCTCCATGGTGATCTTAACTCAGTAACTCAGGGGTGTTGGTGTTGAGGTGCTGGAGTTGTTCGTTGTTCTCTGTCTCCATGGTGATCTTAACTCAGTAACTCAGGGGTGTTGGTGTTGAGGTGCTGGAGTTGTTCGTTGTCCTCTGTCTCCATGGTGATCTTAACTCAGTAACTCAGGGGTGTTGGTGTTGAGGTGCTGGAGTTGTTCGTTGTCCTCTGTCTCCATGGTGATCTTAACTCAGTAACTCAGGGGTGTTGGTGTTGAGGTTCTTGGAGTTGTTCGTTGTTCTTTTGTCTCCTCCAGGTGATCTTAACTCAGTAACTCAGGGGTGTTGGTGTTGAGGTGCTGGAGTTGTTCGTTGTCCTCTGTCTCCATGGTGATCTTAACTCAGTAACTCAGGGGTGTTGGTGTTGAGGTTCCTGGAGTTGTTTTGTTCGTTTTTCCTTGTCTCCAAGGTCATCTTAACTCAGTAACTCAGGGGTGTTGGTGTTGAGGTTCTTGGAGTTGTTCGTTGTCCTCTGTCTCCATGGTGATCTTAACTCAGTAACTCAGGGGTGTTGGTGTTGAGGTGCTGGAGTTGTTCGTTGTTCTCTGTCTCCAAGGTGATCTTAACTCAGTAACTCAGTAACTCTCAGTAACTCAGGGGTGTTGGTGTTGAGGTGCTGGAGTTGTTCGTTGTTCTCTGTCTCCATGGTGATATTAACTCAGTAACTCAGGGGTGTTGGTGTTGAGGTGCTGGAGTTGTTCGTTGTTCTCTGTCTCCATGGTGATCTTAACTCAGTAACTCAGGGGTGTTGGAGTTGTAAAGTGGGATAAAGTTCTTTTCCGAGGATG